GATCACTGACTTCAGTGCAGTGGTTTTCCTCTTCACCCTATGGCTCAGGGGGTTACTACATTCTGCAAGCTTTGCTGTGCACACACAGCTCAAACTGCTGTAAGTTATTCCTTTTCCTTCAGCCTCCCACTTTTCATGTAATTGCTCAGTAAATTTTCCTTAACATACATATTATGCAAACTCGTCTCTAATCTTCTGGTAACTCCCTAGCTTACAGTAACTTTTTACAAGAGATTCCAGTTCACTACCTACTCTTAAATATCAAAGATAAGGGACATAGAAAAGGTTTACATATTCAGATTATCCAAATAATTTCTTACATGAGTGGGATCCGGGAGGATCAAATCACAGCTTTTAGGTAAATGTTTGTGAAGAAATGTTTTCCCCAAAGACTGGTTACTGGAGTTCAACCTCCGGGATTCCAGATCAACAGAAGTTACACACCCCAGAAAGGGGCCAACTTCCCATCTATAAGGTGTACAAGATCCTCAATTGCCAAGTGCTTGAGGGAACTTGTGTAGATCACATCTGAACTAGACAATACTAATGTTTTCATAATTATAGCTCTTTAATCCATGAAGCTGATAAACCTAAACCAGTGCACCTGCAGAGCTTTAAATTCAGGTGCCATACCCTTCTTTAAAGAGTATAACATGCAGAGACTTGTGTGTGCTTCTTTAAGCAACACCAAAGATGGTGGTGTTAAAAGCAAGCCCTACCCAAACTTACTAAAAGTAATCTCACTGAAGTCTAAAGCATGAAACTATCTGAAGGCTTAAAATGGAGATCTTACAAGACCAAGAGCATTAGGCTCTTTCGTAAGCAAGAAAACATAGTTGCTGTTAAGCTCCATCAGGTCCAAAGGCTGATTTTGCAGCAATTCCATACAATTTAAAATCTTGTTATGCCTTAAGAGATAAATTTAATTCTTTGACATAGCCATTCTGCATGAGTTTGGGCAGAGTAACACGGCATCTCAGTTCTGCATCCACACAGCAAGGACAACAGAACTACCCTGGCTGAGAGAGGTGTCAGAGACTGCATGTCCTTAATTATGAAGCTCTGACATATAAACACCAAAAACCTGAAACAACAGGGAGCCAAGAAGAGGAGAATGGTGGATCATCACCTTTACAATAAGAAGCAGAAAGAGCAATATACCAACTGTCTAACCATCACTGAACCTGAACAACTATGAGGCTTTAAAAAAATACACAACCCTACTCTAAGAAATGAGTTGAAACCTCTTCAGCTTGGGACACTTCTACAACTTCGGCCTAGATTTCCATCACACAAACTGCAGAGAACAAACCTACATTGGTGAAGAGATGAAATGGAGGTTTTATTAGATTTTCCCTCATCTCTTATTTAATTCCATAAAAATCTCTCAGGATTATTGTTATGTTATGCACCTAACACAAAAGTGTTTCAAGGAGAACTGATATGTCTGCATAGCACTTTGCATTCTCAAAGTACTATATGAGTGCCAAGTATTAATAATGAACTGCAGGAAGAAAGCTTATTTCTACTTTCCACCCAAGGAATTAGTATCTGAATTTTAAAAAGCATATGGATCCACTGAAAATAGAATATATGTTTTAGAAGTTAAGGAGGAGATGCTAAATGACAAAATTACAAAACCAAAATATTTCCAGAATCATTGCATTTTTCTTCTAGGAAAGTGCAATTCTAGTGGAAGAATCCTGTTTTCACCACAGTGAAAACACTGGGTTTTACACTCTCTTTTCCAGCTGACTTAACTGAAGTGCAGACCATTAATATCTGAAGTGCCTTGTTTTGATTATACTGGCCTTTGCTGGTACCAATCTACTTAAGGTAGCACCAAGAATTTCCAGCATAAAACACATTTACAGGTTTATAACTTGGCTCTAAAAATTCTACTCCAAAAGACAGTGGGAGGCAGAAAGCCTCAGATGAGTGCATTATATTACATATCCTATGTGATGCATAGCTGCTCACAATGGTATGCGAAGGGGAGGGATTAGCTTTAACTCTGAATTACCATGTCTCACAAGCCACCTAAAATGATACTTTTAACTCCCCCTTTTATGTAATCAAAATAATGTTTTGTAAGTGTTTCAGCTAATTAAGAGCTTAATTTGCCCAATTTCACAGCTTGGTTTAAATCACAGAAAGTGTCAATATAATACAGGAATTGGAATGTCATGTCTATTGATCATATTTATACACAAACATTCCCCCCCTTCCTCCCCTCAGAAGTCAATTGCAGCTTGTCTTCAAAGGGTCAACATCTAGGTGATGGGATGTTACAGACTGCTAGCAGCACAACACTGCAATTCAAAGAAAGGCTTAAATGAAGATCAAGGCCAAATAAATTCACTGTAGGTGTTTACCTTTTTGTAAAAGATGAACTCACAGGAAACAGCTAGAGTAAAGACAGCTTTGCAGGTTACTTAGAATGCTATTCTTAAAGCAACATGTATTTCTGGCCGTTGGTATTGTATTTCCTCTAGCCCACATAGGAACATAACACAGCTCTCCACTGCAGCACAGCAACATTAAATATAAAAACCTGCCATTAAAGGGCAGAGGGTAATGGCATCAGTGTGGGCAACCCATGCTCAGGTAGTGTTCAACTATTGTCTCCAGTTTAAGTAGGCTGAAAATACGCAAATCCAGCCAACACTGTTTTTAGATAAAATTGTCAATTTTATGGCTATTTATAGTATGTGTCCAGTCTTGCAGAACTCCATCTTCCTCCACCTCATCTGTAATATAAACTGCTTTTAGCCCACATTAATACAATCTGTTACTGGGATACTTCTCACATTCTGTGTAAGTCAGGCAGCAGATCAATACTCAGCTATGCTGAGGTAAAAGAAAAAAAAATCATTACGTTAGGATCCTGTTAAAAACACAGACACCAGGAGGATAAACCTGATGCACAGGCACCATTCCATCTGGATGCATATGTAGATTACTGCTTTTAAATAAGTCAAAAGTGGCTTTCTTTCCAATATACGGTTTTAAAGAATCCTACAGGTAGGACCTTTGGTATATATACTACACCAAATCAGCCTCACCTCAAAAAAATTTAACCTCTCTGCTTCCATGAGAGCTCTTTCTTTTGATCAAAAGTTTCCACCCTTTGTATCAACTCCCTTATCCATATACTTCCTGTGGTGAAATCACAGCACTGAAATTGGAATAGGAAAGCTATTGCCATGACAGCATCTGCTGATGACACAAGCCCAGGTTTATAACTTTTCCTTGGATCAAGGAGGAGTAAGAAGATTTAAGAGAAAGACTTTAGAACCAATAACAGTAAACTGAAAATCAAAAGGAAAGCAGACACATTGAAAAATATTTTTTAAAAAGTATAAGTTCTTCTATTTGAGGTTGCCTAATGTGAAAGTCTCCTTGGAAAATTCACTAACTGAGCATTTGGGGTTTTTTTCCCCTCAGTATTTTTCAGAGTCAAAAAAGCATATATCCCACCTGCATCAGAGCATTGGTAATATAACATAGCAAGAACAGATGCAGGTCTGTTTGCCTCAGAAGTAAAAGAAAAACAGAACAGCCACACAAACCTCTTCCTATTGTCCTCCCAGCCTACCACATAAGAAACAGAAACTGATACCATGCCCCATAGGTCAACAAACTTGAGCTCTGTGAGACGGTAATTGCAGAGTTGAGAATCCTCTGAGACACCTTGCCTCCAGCTCAGCAAAGTTTAAATCAAGAAAACATCAGCTTCAGTGTCCCAGCTGACCTTCACTAGTGTGGACTTGGATGGAGAGAAATGGTCTCTCAGAGAGAAGCTCCAAAGCACACTTCACCTTTGCAACACATCACTCTTCCAAAGAAATGGTTTGCAAATGTAATACAGGACTCAATGCCCATCTTCTTATAGGTGTTCGAGCTCCTCTCAGTTTCACAGAAGTCAATGTAAGTTGACAGCAGTAAGCAACTTGCACAAACAAGTTACTACTTACTACTTGTAAGATACTGAGACAAGACTGGAGAGAATCAAAGCCATCCTGTCAGCACCTGCAATGAAACTCTTGTGTTTTAAGGGGTTTTGCTGCTGTAGTTTTTAATTCTCTCCCACTCTGCGCAAGTGACTTGGCTCTTTTGTTTCTGTTGGGCTCACAGTACCATAGAACCCTTCACCACCATGTTCCATCATTTCACAACTCCAGTTGCCACGACAACAGGATGCAGCTTATCTGTGCTGTTTTCATATTTCCAGTTTTTGTTGCCATAACAACACAATCATTCTGGCTTTCTACAAAACCAGCAACTTTAAGCCGCGCATTCTCAAAGACACAGGATTCATCATACATGTATCTTCATGAGAAGAGAGATTTGTACAGGCAATTTGTAAATTAAGCTATTTTTTCTGAAGGGGGATTTTTCACTCACAAAAGTGAAAAGCTGACAGCAATTGCTAGAGGCAGACTGCTGAGACATCTAAAGCCTGGCCTTTAATAATAGCCAGAGTAATATAGCACTAGGCCACTTCCGAGTGGGGACTCCCCACAGTGTCAGATTGTGTCAAACTGCACAATTGTTATGTGATGTGAGTAAGTGTCCATATTTGTTTCACCCCGGCAGATCTGAATTAGACGCTAGATGCAATTCTCTTGAGTTTTAACCCAGTGGCCTCCCCATTATTACCAGCACCACCACCATGCAGCTTTGTGTTTGAAGGCCCATTTTAATTCTGTAATTCGAGCCGTTGTCACAGATTTCTTTTCAGACTCTGACCCTTTTCACTTTCAGGTGACTGCATTTTGAACTTTTATTTACAGGAAGTGCACATTCGTAAGACTGGTGAGAAAATGTTATACAAACACAGCATGCATAAACACAAAACAGTGATGGCTATGAGGGGTATCAGCTAACATGGCACCATAACTTCATTACACCCTCATTTATGTACTTCACTAATGAGACAAGCACAGGTGTCCAACACGGTCCCTCACATGAGATGAATAACAATAATACAGTCCAACCTGCTTTAGCCATGCTTGGTATCCAGAAGATATTAGTTGGAATCCATCTTTTGGCATGTGTATTCGGGGCTAGGAGAGAATAGACATAAAGAGAGACCTCCTTTTACACTGGGACCTAGCTAACCTAAGTCTAAATTCTGGAGCATTTTAAACAATGCAGATTTTTTTAAGCCACGTATGAAGGTTTAGTCCCCAGATTAGTTCTTGTTTACTCCTCTGATATCAGCTGCTTTAAGAACACTCTTCTAATAAAGCCACCACCATTTTTACGATTTCCACCATTTTACGTTTCAATTCAGTATATATAGGTATTTCTTTAAAATTGCCACACAAATGCACTTGGATAAGCACAGCCTCTGTGGTGGGTGCAGTAGCAGAGACTAATGGTCATTAATGCTTTTACCACTACATAAAGCTACATGGTGTCAAAACAGCAGTAGTCAAGCTATGAGAGTCTTTTTACAGTCACCATCCTCAACACAGTCAGACCAGACATTGGACAAGATGAAAAGATTAAGGAAAAATCCCTGAAGAGGTGCAGCCTTAACACCAGGGTAACAGGAAACTATACTCACACACAGCCATAAATTATGCCTCAAACTGATAGACAAATATAATCTCCTCCCCATTTATTGTTTTCATGCTTTATCGGGTTGAGGAAAAGACAAGACATCCAATTACTCTGGAAGCACAAAAAATATATAGCATAACTTACAGCTAGAAAAAAGAATGCAACAAAAAAATGAAACACTGCCTGTCATGACATTCATTTGCAGTTCGAAGATATTCTCACAATTGAGTGGATTCAACTGTTCTCCCTCCCCACCCAAAAAAGGAGATGCTTAGAAATTAAAATCACTTCTAAGCAACAGGACCAGACAGGACATCCGCAGACACCAAGTCCAGAGATCTTTCTTAGTCCTGGAAACTACATCACAATCCCTTTCTTAACTCACTGTAGTTCCCCTCCAAACCAGCAGATGTGCACCCCTAACACTCCTTCTGGAAGGCTGGAAACATCCTTCTCGTTTTCAGAATGGCTCTGTTCAAGGTGAGTTTATCCCCATTTGTTCTTGTGTCAGCACAATATCTAGTTTGTATGAACTGTGTCCACCTTGGTACTTGTAACACTAAAAAATACAATTGGTCAGAGAGGAAAAATGTGTCACCACTGAATGACAAACCTTCACAGCTATGGTGGGAGGTAGTCCAGCCTTGGAATTTGAAAATTAAAACAAGAACAGACTAAAATCTTGCCTCTAAAGAGAGGTACAAATACAGGACTTTACAATGTACTTTGAACATTAGTTATTTTTGCTTCTCTCCAGTTTGAATTGAAATCCTCCTAAATCTTTCAAAGCAGTAGTAAGATTATGCCCTGGTGTCCTAGCCAGTAATCTCAGTTAAATGTGAATTTTAATAACCACCATTGTGCTGATAAATTAAAGTCAAGTATATCTGGTTACTGCATTCACCTGCTGAGTTTGGACTTGCAATGCTTAACACATTAACAAACTATGTTTTAGGGGACTTCTCACACAGCTAGAAGCATCATGCTCCGAGACCTAATCCTTACTTCAGCACTAACTTCATGGGTGGTTAGTCTCTCTACTACTGTATAATGAGGACAACACTCATTTAACCCACCTCACAGGTTTGCTGAGAGGAACTGCTGACATTTCTACGTGCTTTGAAAATGGAAGAAACTATATGAAGTGCTACGTATCTAGCAAGAACACTACAGAAACCCACATTTTACTTCTGGGTCAAGTGTTTCAGTTGCTTTTTCAAAGTAGCACAGCTCAGTATACCTATCAAGGAAAAAAAAACAACCTTCATCAACAAGCAAAAATAACGACCTTTTGAAATCACAGTGTCAGCAGTAGAGAGACCTGAATACCAGTCTCGGATCTGCCCAGGTTCACACAACAAATCTGTGAAAAATTACTTCATTTCTTTCTGTTTCTGTCACCTAACCTACAAATTAAAGGATAACAGTGCAGCTTTCTCTTAGGACCAGAAGGCTGCTTAACATTTGTAAAGCCCATCAGTCCAGAGTAGTTTAAGTAATTGATTTAAGACACTGATTTAAACCATTTAATTTGAAGGCCCTGGTCCTGCAAATATGTAAGTGTATTAATAGATCTATTGCCATCAACAGGATTACTCTCATGCAGAAGTATCTCCAATATCAAAGATAACGCTGTATTTCTACTTAGACAACTCTTACCAACACAAGTTCTTTGTGACTTCAAAATAAAGTTCCTTGAGTATTAGCAATAAAAGTAATCAGGGCTTTCAGCAGATTAGCAGCTACTGTAAACTTGATTTATTTTTCAGTGCTGACAAGTTAAATATACAAATAGGAGAAACTGAGACCCATCACCCATCCCTCAGCACCATACTTGCAAAATCCCCTCAGTGAAGTATGTCTCCTCTGCATTTGATAAGCCTACCCTCATCTAAGAGGAAAATAAACTATACAGAAGAGAAGCAAATTTTACCAGTACGAGGTATGTCATTAATGGTATAAGCAGCAGTATGAGGGTAAAGTGGGATATTTGCAGAAGTGAGCCCTTGTTCATATCAAATGCAAGCACTGATAGAAAACCACAATTTAATTAAAATCTCTGGAGCTCTCACAAGCATTTAACGCACACAGACTCACCATTGGCTAATCTTTTACAACCAATCTCCTAAATTTTAAATTTCTGTGGTTCTCCTAGGCACATTGTGAATGACCCGCAGGAACGTCTCCTTCAGCAAAGACAAGCAATTAAGTAAGTACATCTGGTTAAAACTTTCCAAATGTCAGTGCCCGAGTGACAGCAAACATGCAACTACAAAGTTACAGAAGAGGAACTCATACATGCTTGGTAACTTAAAACAAAACTGCCCCTCTTCCCCCATTCTTTAAAAGATCTGGGACACAGACAACTGCGTTGTTTGAAAGCTGTACTATTTTACCAATCATCACTAAAATCTTCCACGATTATGATCCATTCAAGGCAATTCTATCAGCAATACAATTAATTGCCCAGCAAGATCTACTCATTTTTGCATTTTCATGAGCACACACCATTTATGCTCATGGTTCAATATCATTCATAAGTGTAGTATTTTCTCTTAGCATCTGCTCCAGCATTTTCCATGACTAGAAGTCAGACTGCTAGGGTAATTTTCCTCTCTTTCAATAGCCACCTCAAAAAGTAACCCTGAAAGCACTCTAACCACTAATTTCTATCATGCCATTTTGTGAATATTTCACATTTTTATCTAGGTGAGCGACTAATTTGTAATATAATCCTGACAACTTCCTTTTCCAATACATTCACGTTTATTATTGAGGACTTGCTTTAAAAATGAGCCTTCCATGACTGCAGATGACTTACGCCATAACCATCAGCGACTTAGTCACAGTTCTGAAATGCAATTTTACCCTGTATGAAATGCCTACTTTCTCTTCAGTCTTTTTGGTGGCCACAGAACTTATCATCTATATATTACCCATCTATTAAATTATATTATTATATATATTGCAATTGTCTATAAACCCATGAGCCAGAATACCTTACTTTGCTCATCTTTTTTTCTGCAACCCCTGACTTTTTTCCTTTAGTAATCTACTCTTCCATTGCTAATCCATTTGATTTCTGCAGTCCCTAGCAAGGCCCAGAACAACAGAATGATTTCTGAGAACAAGTCAGTAATTTAAAATTCAGTGGTACCCTCTTCCCTTCTCTACAAAGGCTGATTTTTAGAGGACATTTAATTACAGGCCTGAGTTCCTATTTTCTAAGCCTAAACACAACCCCTGAAGGCTTACAATATTCGAGTCACAGCTGGAGCTGTGGTTACTATACAGTTTAAATATCAGCCTCTTTACTGTGCAATTTGTTTTGAAAATCAAATCAGATGCCGTGTCATAAACAAGTGCTAATTAAGTACTGAGCGGAAATTGGGCTTTTTTGTGCAAGAAAGGTTCTTAAATATCTGCATCTTCACTTCCATAAGAACGGATAAATATGTCAAGAGTGATAATTATAAAAGGAAACCTACTATGGTACTTGCAAGGCAGTACTGCTGCTTCTCCATTTCACTTGTTTCCATATAAGAAGAAATGAGGGGGCAAAGTTGAGACCTGTATGAAATATATATGTACTAAGGATCTTATGAATCTGATCATATAATCCATAATGCTTCCTTTTCCCTCAGAGAGGACATTCACCTGGGTTTCCATCACATATGATTTAAACAGGCAAGCTAAACCCATCTCTCTCTGTCACTGCAAAGCAACAGTGAAGCTACTTACATTTTCATTCCTTTTAAGTTATCATCTACACACAGTATTTATCTGATGATAACATTGCATTCATTAGATACAACACCTTGTTTGATAAATATCAAGTGAAGAACAGGAATAATGCATTTTAATAATCTGAAGGTTGCCTCTGAGTAACAATATTCACGACTCCATTAACTAACAGGCTCTCGGCTACAAAGGCAGAATTAGATCTGTCAGTCACTGACACGGGAGGGCATGGCCAGTTGCACTGAAGACTGTCCAGTTGAGATGACTTCCACAGCAAAGGAAAATATCCCCTGTGGGCTAGAACTTGTTAATGAGTTTGCATGCATTACAGCAATAAATTAAATTCCTACTACAGAACATACAACTTCATGGCCCAAATAGGTATCTTACTCCACTGTCCAAAGCAGTACTCAAAATAAAGCACAGTTAGATCTGTAAACTCTAATTCAACAAAACCAAAGACAGGATTTCAAAATCTTTCATTATTATTAGGAGAGAAAGCCATGAGCTCTCCGATTCTAAAACCGTAATCTCACAATGTTTAAGCATGGTCTTTGTGTGATTTTGTAGAAGGAATGAACGAACATTGAGTCGGTTGACTGTCAGATCTCACAGTTTGATACAAACTCTTTCAGAAGGACACAGCACTCGAACAGTAAGCTCTGACTCTGCCTGCAAACTAAATGAACTCACCGCACATGGTAAACACGGCTACTCTAGTTCTTTAGTGAATTTGTTTGGA